CACTCTATGGTCACTCCCAAAGGCTGAGTAGGAGGCCATGTGAGCAAGCACCAAAACATGCGCATGTCCTCTGCTTGACAGAAGGTTTTGGCCGATCAGAATTAGGTGTCATGATGTGCAGTTGGGGCATGGGTCAAACAACTTTGGTGACTTTAAAGTCGAAGTTGGTGAGACTTAGTCGCAGCAAGATCGGGGAATGCGATAAAACCTCCACACCTATGACTGTTCAGATGCGTTGGCTGAAGCCCAAGCTTCTTCTTCCGCCGACGAGCAGGTGCTATTCCAGACATCCCTGACGCAAGATTATGCTCAGGCTCAACTGTGTGCGACCGGACAAACCAGTTGCAGCATGCTGCAGCTAAACTCTGAGCGTCATGATGTTCTGAGGCTGTGGTTTCGAAGAACACATCTTCTACATCCGTTTCATCCGGAATTGCACATGGGTGAGAGATTGGTATCAAGATGGAATCTCTTGGCATGTCAGCCGTGTGAGGCTGAAGGAGATCCAGCAGAAGCAGCTGAGGAGGTTCCAGATCAGCAGCAGGAGGTCTGGAGAATTGAATGCACAAAAGCCAAGGGTTGATGGACGGAATTTGAAGAATCCTCCAAGCCAGAAGTTGACATGGAACTAGCTTCCTTTTCATTTTGGCGATGCTTTTTGATGATTGCTTTCAGTGTGCTGATGCACCTTCGTCATGGTAAGCTCTTGCTAGTCTGTGCATGTTGCTTTGTCAGGAGAGAGAACATGAAGATATGATGGCAGAGGAAGAGGCCATGTCCAAAGGAGTTAGACTGCCCAGGTTTCCTGGTCTATGCATCCAAAGTCTGTGTCATTCACGCATGTGCCGGAAAGATGTTGTTCCTCCCCAGCAAGGCAGCCCCTCTTCCAGTAGTGGCCATGGACCAGGAAGAGGAGGAGGTGGGAGTTGAGGCCTTGTTGAGAGAAGGGTCAAAGCAATGAAGCGGAGTTTGAAGATTGCGACAACAGATCCAGAACCTCTGGAAAGTCTTGAACGATCCCAGCAAGGTATGTTTGATCCGTTTCACCGTGGTTGAGATGAGATGATGATATGAATGAGTTGGGCCCCTGCAGGTGGCATCCTTGGAGGAGCATGGCCAGGCACGGTTCAATGAGAATCAGTGAGAATCCAGTATCTCGAAGGCTTTACCTGCAGATTTGTTGCTGTTGCTATGCTGTTTCATCACCAGTAAAGAGCGTGGTCCAAAAACCCGATCTGATGCCGGCCGCGGACGGTCCCTTTGAGGCCGCGGACGGTCCCGTGGAGGCACGGATGAGCGAACACAGAAGCGTTCGAAGCCGACGAACCCCAACCAATACTTGTACTTGTATGTATGTATGTGTATATATATATAATGAAGAAAGGTTCGCCGGCCGTTCGCCGCCAGTGGTTCGTCCGTTTCTTTTTTCTTCAAACATAGATATTCCCAAACCTTGGAACGGACTGTTCTGCAAGCGGCTATTCGTTGATTGTGTGTTCAGCACATTGCCAGATGTTTTGACCCCACGCATCCTGTTTTTGTCTCTGGGAAAGAACTTGTGGCAGGATATGAATTTTCAACAGCGGTCGTTCTGGCCGTTCTATGTTGGCACAACTGTTGGAGTGTGTAGCAGCCAACGACATGCAGGTTTGTATTGAGGAGAACCAGTGCGAAGAGTTTGCTGTAGAAAAGAAGGACCCACACAGTTCTGGTGCTTGCCATCATTCTAAACAAGTAACCATGGGCTCACATGACACGCGCAGTACAGCACTTTGCATCGCAGTGTTCATTTGTCAGTGCTGCATCATTGTGTGTTGGCAAGGATCCCTGGATCTTCTGGCGAAATATCCTTGGTGCAGAGCTCTTTCCGTGAGCTCACAATGGTGAAGTGCATGGACCAGGAACACAGCAAACTGCATCTAGCAATGTGATAGGTTGAGAATACGACAAGGCATCCAATTCGTAGAAGTGAGGGTTCTTTGTTCCTTCATGACGTCATTACTCCTTGCCACTCGGCTGCTCCTGCATTTGACACTTGGTTAAAGATCCAAGTTCGCAGGATGCAGGAACGCCTGGCCCGAGCGGCTAGACGCAGTCCGACAGATCTACATACGCAGTCCGAAGGGCATGCTTTAGCGATTCTATTTAATATGCCAGATGAGCTAGAACAAGAACTCACAAAGGAATACTGGAACAGTTCTTGCCTGCTTAGTGCTTCCTTTGCAAGTCCAAGATCAATGGCAAGGAAAAGGGGTGTCCATTGTCCACATGGCAACACGTGATGGCACACAGATCATGCGGAAACACATGAGGATTAGTAACAAGTGCCACGCTAGTAGTAACAGGTGCCTTACTACTAGTAACAAGAAGCTATTAGGAACAAGTGCATCGCTTCTAGTAACAAGTGCCTTACTAGTAGTAACAAGAAGCTACCATGAGCATCCACATCTCCCCGACAGACTCAAAGTAAAATGCATCGTCCAGAGGATTGCGTCATGTTCTCGTGCATGAACACATTGCAGTGTGTGGAATTACAAGCAGCACTCTGTGCTCATTGGGGCTCGGGGATTCAAAAGACCAGTACAGACACGCTGGCTTTGCGACTTGCATTCCTAGCGCAAAAAGCTCTGCCGCTTGCTAGTAAGCTGGAGTTGGGAATCCTGCGTTCAGGACCCCAAAATTGAAGAGGCACTGAACTATGGCTGTGTAGTGTTTTGAGGCTATTCGGGTAGTCAGGATGCATGGCTTTTGCCTCGAGTGAAGAAGGCCTTGTAATCCTTTCGTGCCAAAACCACCGTACCTCACCCAAGTCGTTTGAGGTCTTTTCATACCCTAAAACGACCCAAAGGCTCGGTGGGAGAACCTAAACGACCCAAAAGCTCATGTTGAATGTGTGTGTGTGTGTGAATGAACTAGGGTCGATTCTAAACTGTTCAGGGTTGATTCTGAACTTGATGCCTGTTCTCCCTTATGCCACAAGTCCTGTTTTTAAACTGCATGTCAGAATGCCACATGACTTATGCGCAAGTGGTATCGGCCAAAGCTGGCTCGAATATTACAGTAGTATTATTGTTATTGTTATTATTGTTATTCCCCAGATTCAGAGAGCTGCAAGCGACAGGGGGTTCTCACTTGTCAATGGTGTGGCTCGGGATCGGCGTTTTCGTTTTGCGGGTGCTGCTGCCGTGCTGGTGCTGGTGCTGGGTCGGCATTTTGTTCGTGCTGATGCAGGTGCTGGCTCTGGATCGGCGCTTCCTTTTGCCCGTGCTGGTGCCGTGCTGGTGCTGGTGCTGGTGCTGGTGGTGCTGGTGGTGCTGGTGCTGGTGCTGGTGCTGGTGCTAGTGCTGCTGCTGCTGCTGCTGCTGCTGCTGCTGGATCGGTGTTTTGTGTGGGCGTGCTGGTGCAGGTGCTGGTGCTGGCCCCTGGCATGACATGATGTCATCCCCTGGCATGACATCATGTCGTCCCTGCCTGGCCTTGGCACCGCTCATTGACAGCGTATTAGACACTGTTTTTCTTCCCTCAGGCACTATGAGTTTTTCCCTATACACCCGCGCCCATGCCAGTGTGATTTTAAGTGGCTTGGTTGTTCCATCAAAGCTGGGTCTTGCTAGTAGGAACTTCTTTGCTTGATGAGTCCATGTTGGGTCTCCACAATTCTTCTCGCTATGCTGAAAACGTTTTCCAGATGCCCACACGAGGATGGACCATGAGATGGAACACATGTCCCCAGAAAGAATGCTGTTCACACAACAAGTAAGTTAAGCTGGAAAGAGATCAGCAAAAAATGGTGTGGATCTCCTTGTTCATCTTGGTTTATGCTTACTATTGGAAGATGGCTGGGCACTGGCGATGCACGTGCCAGGCTGCAGCTACTCTACGCTCTCCCCGATTCTTGCGGCTGCTGGTGCTGGGACAGGACCTTTTCCGGGAGACCAGAATTATTCATTTGGGAGAAATTAGTTGTGACCCACAGCCTGTTCTTGCAAGACGGCAACACGCACACACACACACACACGCACACTTATCTACGTATCTGTCTCCCAGACAGCCGAAATACGACGGCAAAACCCACAAGCCTCAGCAAATCGTCGTGACCTTCTGCCCAGCCACGCAGTTTGTTTATTAATTTTTACCGTTTCGTGTGGTCTGCGATTTTGGTTCAAGCCAAGATGATGTAGGTGGAGCGTTCACACGCTGCTTTTCCATTCCAAGATGTCAGCCTTTGTGCCGATTTCAGCGGGTGTTTCCACGAAGGTGGCTGTCGACGCATGTTTGAGGGCTTGATTGGTTTGTGTGGCTTGTCAGGACATACACCCCCTTCATGGAAATACCTTGTGGCGGGGACATCTTGTTGGGCTCGGTGTCGAATGCTCCTGTTTCTTGGAACCCTCGGCGTGGAGCTGTTTCGGTTGACAAGTGGAGGTTCCCAAGCAAGATGTTCCAGACAGAAGCTTGATCTAAGCAGCTCCATCTGAATTTAAGCAGCATTTCAGGCCTGATACACTTCTCTTCACTTTCCATTACCAGTCAACTGAAGCCCCACTGAAACGTTTGGTCACAGCCGAGTGGTGAGTGGACTTCCCCGCCATCATGGCGATCCAAACGCGCGCGAGTGCCCAGATGTACTTGGCGGTAGCACTGGCGATGGTTGGAGCCGCGACGTTTGGGCTGGACCAGGGGAACTTTGGGAATGTCCAGGCTTTTGAATCTTTCCGAGCGGAGTGGTGTGTTGGCAGGCGGCTAGAATCACTCATGTTATCACGTTACAAATTCTTCTTGTATGCGAACCCCCAAATGAAGGAACAACAAGGGAATTCCCTTCAACCTGTCACATGGACTTGTTGGATGACAGCCTTACCTCGTTTCCACAACTATATTCATTCCAGTACCGGAAAAAAACACACACACATAAAACATTTTTTTCAGCGGACGTGCGGAAAAGACACCACGACATCGCCCTCCAGGTATGGGGATGCCGAGAGTTGTAGCGAGCTGGGATCCTTGCAGAACGACCGCTGGCAGGACTTTGTGACCTGGGGCGCCAGTTTGATTACCTTTGGTGCGGCGGCTGGCGCAGTGCTGCTAGGACCATTCGTCACTCACCAGCTGGGCCGAAAGCCATGTATCCAGATGGGAGGTGCAGTCTGCTTCATGGGCTGCCTAATGGCCTCCTACTTGTCCTTCCACAATGTGGCGGAGTTTTTTCTAGGGCGATTCATCACTGGGCTGGGTGTTGGACTCAGTTGCTTCGCTCTGCCACTCTACAACGCGGAAATTTCAACTCCGCAGATTCGCGGTGCCACCGGGTCCATCTTCCAGTTGAACGTGGTGATCGGATGCTTCGTCTCGTGTTTGGTGACGCTCTTGGACGATGACTGGTACTTCGGCATGGTGCTTCCAGGCCTGGCAGGTGCTTTGCTGGTGCTGGGCGGCTTCTTCCTCCCAGAGTCGCCACGCTTTCTCATGGAGAAGATGGTGCATCAACATCCGGAGGAGGCCTTCAAATGTGGCCTGCGATCTTTGAAGCGCATCAGATCAGGTGATGTGAAACCAGAGGCTGATCAGATCTTTGAGCAAATCAGAGCAGAGATGGAGACGAAGCACATGGGGTTTCGTGATCTCTTCCGGGATCCTAACCTGCGAAAGCGCGTTCTCATCGCTTGCACCTTGGTGATTGGACAGCAGGCCACTGGTGTGAATGCCTTTTTGGGCTATGCAGCCACACTCTTCAAAGAGTGTGGCATTGAAAATCCCATTTTGTTTGATTCCATCTTCAACAGCATTATGATTTTGGGTTGCATTGCTGGGTTGCTGCTGGTCGACTCACCCTATGCTGGCCGGCGGTCGCAGCTACTCGTGGCCACTGCCTTGATGGGACCACCTTTGACCATTGCTGGCTTTGCCTTGAGATTCGGCTGGCCACGCATCATCACCATGGCCTCTGTGATCATCTACGGCGTTGGTTTCCAGTTTGCCTGGGGTACCATCCCGTGGATCTACCCTGCCGAGATCTTTTCCATGTCCGAGAAAGAGTCGGCCGTGAGCTGTGCGGTGGGTGTGAACTACGTGGCGAATGCGGCGGTCGTCTACCTGACACCTGGGTTGATGAAGTGGTCAACACCAGGTACTCTGCAGATCTTTGGTCTGCTGAACATCTTGAACGCCCTTTTTGTCTTCCTCTACATCAAGGAGACCAAAGGTGGGTATCACATGTCAAACCAAAGGGATATTTTTAGGCCCAAGGTCCTTATCTCAATCTCAATCTTTGATTGAAGTTGACACCAGTTTTGAAACGAGAAGTCGTGGCAGAGGTGGGTGGCAGGTCTCATTGAGTTGCTCAGTCTCATTGGTCAACATCGCAGGTGTCCCCTTGGAAGACATCCCAAAGCTCTTCCGGCCGCGGAGCGCGAGCACGAGCGTGCGTTTGAAGGCCGTCAAGGCTGCACCGGTCTGCGTGGTGCCGGTGAAGGATACCCGAGAGGACGTGAAAAGAGCGGTTTCGGGCCGAGGGGTGGATGGTAGGAACAAGGACGCTACTAGGAACAAGGGCCTTACTAGCAGTAACAAGAAGCTAGTAGAAACAAGAAAAGTAGTAGCCTGGGCTCACACTTTGGATTGCCTGGGCTCCATGACATCTTTCCATGCTCTGCCACCTTTTCCAGGGGGTTGGTTGCATTCGGAGACTCGTAAGTCTTGGATTCAAGGGAGATTTTGTCGATGAATGCAGCTGCGTAGGTAAAAGCTCTTCCGGACGTCTGGCTTCCCAACTCTGTGCACTACTGGAGGTGGAACGTACCGTACTGCACCCTGTATTCTCCCCCTGTCCGCCGGTGCACCCTGTAACCCTGTCAACACTGTGGTGCCGTACAACACAAGCAAAGCTCGGCTCATTCGCTCTGTTTGCATGCACACAAGACTCCGTCGCCTGCCCCTTCAGACCGGTGGGTTCACATGACTCGACTCGATGCTGCGCCGGCCATCTCTTTGTTGGTGGTAATTGGTCCTCCTTTTCCAGCTCTGCAGAAAACACCATATGTACTAGTTGGTTTTGCATTGGGGACAAAAAACACTGTAAATATTAATGTTTTTGATCCTCAGCAAGCAAATGCGCAGTATTGACGAGACAGGGCCCTTGCTAAGAAACTTATCGAGTCACTGTAAACACCACCGGTGTTTTTGAACATCGATAAGCCAAACGCACCGGTATTTATTTATATACGCGCTGTTTGTTGCAGTAGGAGATAAAACACTGTAAAGTACAGAGGTCCTGCAGTTAAGGGAATGAGCTAGGGTGTGGACCGTTAAAGCACAACAACAACACTGTAAAATACAAATGTCTCTCAACCTCCCCAAGCAGAAAAAGACCCGGTATTTATGTATGAGGTTTTTGCATCATACCAATGACCTCGTACTTGGGCAAGCAACAACCACGGTATTTACAAGGTTTTTCGCATTATATAGGAGCCTAAAGCAACCCAATACCAAGGCTTTTGAACGCCAAGCCATGGACTCCATATTTACAATTTGGGAAGCACAAACATGATGATATTTACATAGTCTTTTCTTTGCATATGGATCAATTCTTGATCAAACTTTAGTAGCAAAAACATCGCACATTGCAGGGTTTTTGCTATTGTTTGATGAACATGCCGATGTCAGCAGCGTGCTCAAAACCGTGTAAATGTCGACGTTTTTGGCAGCAAACATACAACAAACACTGTAGTAACAACAATGGTTTTTGCATCCCACATATGCCTAAGTCCCACGCGTGCCCCCCAAGGACCCAGTTTCCTTTTCTTCTTGGGCGCGCAGACGCGCCGGACCGCACCGCACTGCGGCCCATATGTTCGAATCCGAAAAAGAGACCATCGGGGGGTCGAGCCCCAGGCCAAATCCTGGGCAACGCTTTTCTCGGGAAAACAATCTTGACGGTCAGAAACAAATATGGAATTTACACATGTGTCAGGCAATCCGACATCACACGGGCGCAGGCCCCACCCCTCTCATCCTAGACCGGCATCGGCAGATTTTTCGCGACACCCTAATTTGCATTAGTTTCACCTCCAGTGTCCTCAAGCTACGAGGACCGTTGGTCCCACTTCTCTGCCGAAACTCGCATGGGCCAACAGACATGTCAAACGCCAGGCCAATCCCCCGCATGTGGCACCGGCAGCGGTAGTCCAAGGCAGGTCAGGGGAAAGTTGGGTTGCACGCCAGGTCTGCTAACAGAGTTGAAAATCCCTCCATCAGCAGGCAAGTTTCATGATGTGTTGCTTGCTTTTCACTTCCGCGAGGAGTCTATTCAGCTACACAAAGAAAGATGGCACGAGATTGAATTGGCCCCTGGATCGAAAAGTCGATAAAGCTACCTGTTGATTCCTAACCCCTTTTTCCTTAAAAATATCGCTCATTGACGCTGGCTTTCCCAGCTGCACTTTTTCACCACATGTGTTTGCGGTTTGTATTGAAATGGAAGATGGCCCGATTCGACCCCATGAAGAGTAAACATCGACCGGTCTATCCATTGGGCCAGAGGGAGGCGTTTTTTGGACACCTCCATCGGCTCCACAGAGCTCAGGAGAAGGCTTCAGAGCTCCACAGGGAGTGGGACCGCTTTTGCGGCTGACGGCTGGCGCGCTAGCCGTTGGCTACAGGTGCGGGACGGGGAGCGAACTTTCTTCTTGGGAGAGGCACAGATGCACGCCGCACAAGGAAGTTCGCAATGTTTCAGGTGTTGTTTGCTCCTTCCCAGCTGCGCGTGTTCGACCTTTGTCCCGATCGATGTTGCGATCGAACTTGCCAGGCGTTCGACGCGGCGCGCGGCGGTTCAGCGGGGCGCGGGCGCCAAAGTGGTCGCGCCTGCGGTGATTCAAGCAGCCCCCGCTGGGTCGGCCGCAAGCTGGCGGGAAAGGCTGCGGCGGGTGGGAAGAGTGTGGGGGGAGGAGAGATGGAGCTAGGTTTACGTGGACTTTATTTGGTAAGGCCAACTGTCAATGTGAAACCATGCAGATGCGGGGGTGTGTTCAAAGTCCCAGCTCAAGAGTAAAGTCACAGGTTGAAGAGGGTCGAACTGCTGCGTAAGCCTAAGCATGATCTTTGTTTGATGCATTTGTGCGCACACATATCCAAGCTGTCGTTTGTTTTGCAGCCCAAGAAACTGCACATTTCTTCCCTCCAGTGGAGTGCTCTTCTCGAAGGGTTGGAACGTCAACTCTTCCCTGCACCAAGGGGTGATCAGCAACAGTCGCTGAAACATGTCTTTTTTCTGCAGTACTAAAGATCACACAGATTCACACAGTATATATAACTATATGACTATATATATATATTATATTATATGTATATATATATATACATACACATACATTTCAGAATCCACTGCAAATACCCAGGGAACAAAAACCTCCATGATTCCTCCATGATTCCCGGGTGCGATTCTCAACCATACACTGAAGCTTCTTCGCAGACGTTCTGATCCACTGGTCACCAAGCTGTGAACCCGGGCGACTCGAGCTTCGGCGACACGCAGCCATTCTTCAGCAGGGAGTGTGCAGCATCACCTGAAAGCAGCCCGACTGCTTAGATGATAATCCTCCTAGTGTGCTCAAGGACCTTAGATACATAGTTGCATACTTATAGTACTCCTAGTGCTTTCCTGTCGTAGCCCCGCAAGCTTGGCAAGAACTGCCGGTGATGGGGCCTCCTCTGAAGATTCAGATTGAGCAAAAGACCAAGGAAGTGCAGAAGCTCCGAAATGAGCTGGAAGAGGAAATGGATAGGGAGATGCGACCCCTCTTGGAGACCATGGAGAGTCAACTCGAGACTCGGAACAAGAAAAATTGATGTCCCCAAACAGATAGAAACACTGTCCGAAACATTAGAACCACTGTCGGAGGGGCCCTGACTTTGCTAATTATTTGTTCCCCAAACAGCTTTGCCGTGCCATACAAAACTGGGTTGGCCTTTCGGACATTTTCTATTTTTTGCTTTTTTGGGCTAGTGCTGGGCTATAGTTATATGATGATAAGTAATAGTTAAACTATGGACTGACCACCACTGGACTGACTAGACTGGCTCAAACTATAATAACTAACTGACTGTCGGACTCAAACCACCCTTAACCTTCAAACCATCATGGTTCATACTCAAACCGCCGTTCATATCAGGATGATAAGCGTTCTTCCGATGAAATCATTCTGAAGTCATATTTTATCTCATAGACTATATTGTCACTGTCTGACTTGGACTGTCATCACTTTCATTGTCATACACTTCAGTGTCATACACTTCGTCGTAGCCTGACTTGCCGATCATGGAAGAGCCGGAAAGCTTGACAAGTACGACGAGAAAGGGCCACGATGATTTCTGGCCTTTTGTCTCCTTTGTCTCCACATGGCTCTTCCGGGTGCTGGGCTGAGATGCTTCTGCTTTTGTCTCCCTTTGTCTCCCAGGCTCGTTTGGATGCTGGCTGAGAGCAGGTGTAATCTCTCTTTGTTCCCCTTCGCCGTTCACGGCGGTTCTGGCTGAAATGGTTCTGACTGACTTGTCTCCCTTTGCCTTTGTCTCCCGTGGCTCTTCTTGGATGCTTGGGCTGAGATGATTCAATGACTCTGCTTTGTTATGTCGGGCACGCCAGCCATAGATACAAGGAGCCAAAATAGTTTTATAAAGCAAAAACAAAGCAAAAAAAAAGCAAAAGGCAAAGCAAACAAAAAAGCAAAAAAATGTAGCTGTGCGTATTTGTCGCTTTTTTTTTCACTTTTTTTTTCGCTTTATTTTCGCATTTGCTTCGCTTTATTTTCGTTTTTTTTTCGCTTTTTTTTTCGCTTTTTTCCTAGGAGGGTACAGCAAAAACATATTTGTCGCTTTTTTTTTCACTTTTTTTTTCGCTTTATTTTCGTTTTTTTCGCTTTTTTTTCGCTTTTTGTTTTGCTTTGTTTTTGCTTTTTGCTGTGTTTTTGCTTTGTTTTTACATTTTCATTTGCTTTTATTTTGTTTTTTTTTCACTTTTTTTCAAAAAAATATTTGATGGTTGGCCATGTATGGCTGCCATCGCCCAACATAACTGCTTTGTTTTCCTTTGCTTCGTTTGTTTCTCATGGCTCAAGGCTGGCGGCAAAAACTTTCAAGGTTCGCTGGCCATCAAGCTGCCGCTGCTGTTTGGGGTTGATGCTGGTGTAGTTTGAGGGACCACATCCTGGCGCAAGTTTGGATGATTGCAAGATGGTGCTGTTACTGAAGGAAGCCACAGTCTTTTGAAGTCTAGCCTAGCTGTTTTATTGGTAGGCTCGGGACGACCCACAATACAGACATGCGGACCATGACGCAGCCAGTGCGAAGTCGTTTTATATAGGTGCCATGCCGCTTGCCCACCCTGGTTGTAAAAGTCAAAGTAGGCCTTTGTAGTCAAAATGGTGTTGTTTTTCCAAGCCCATGGCCGACCTTTGGGCCGAGGACAAGCTGACGATGAAGGAGCTCGCGGAAGCGCGTTCAAAGAAGAAGGTCTCTCCGGGAATCCGGGAGACCTTTCAGTTGCTGCACTTTGTGCTCCTCGGCTGCGTGAGTTTTGGGCCTTCCGTTGTTGAAGACTTTGAAATGCGATCTTGGGTGTGTGCTGGCTTTCAGAAGGGTCGCCTTGAAAGCGTTTGGAGCTTCTGCCGTGGAAGCCGGAACTCCTGCCCCTTGTATTGACATGCATTTTCATGTTTTGAACAGGATAGTTTTTTTGGTTAGAAGACAGCAGACCGAGACAGAAAGACCCCCCCCCTTGGTGCCAAAAAGTTGTCTCAAAAGTGTCAGTCTACTTTTGCCGCATCCCAAGCTGTGCTGGATCAACATTTGCAGTTCACCTAAGTTCACCTCGTTTGACGATCCTGCGGACTGGCACCGGGGCACCTCAGATTTTCGCACAGGCTGGATGATCCGACACCACACCCAAGGGACAGCGACGAACCTCGGCTGGGCTGGTGGACCAGTCGATCTGAATCTAAATTGTTGAAGGAAGTGCAAACCCACCGTTTGGACCCCCCCGACACTGCAACTAGGGGGCCCTGTTCCCCTTCTCAGTTACAGAATACGAGAGTATCCTGGGAACACCAAACCCCTCGGCGTGTCTTCTAGCGGCCAAGGAGCACTAGGATTGAGCCAATGCGAGTGCCCAACTCCAAGAAGAGATCACACCGCGAGGTTGTTTGCCCTCAAGCGACACAGGGAGCATTGCTTGAATCCGGATGCTGCTGGCCGCTCGATTCATCAGGCAAGAGACCTTGTGTATTACAATTACAATACAGTACATCCACCAAAAAGGATGAACCATACACAACGGAATCATATCCATCACCAGTGAAGGTCAGGGTTTGTGGGGAAACTCAACACAAACAATCCACCAACCCCATGAATGTCTTGACATCAGGGTCCTCACCCTGCTGGGAAGTTGTCCAAGGACTGGAGAAGGTTGGGTTTCGATCACAAGTTGGTGGAGCGAATGCTGCTCGGATAGCTCGGTGCAGGGCGGAAGCAAGGCATTTGATCGCCGCGATCGCCGTGGAGGTCAGCGGACGAGACCACACGCGGCTTTTTGGATTTCTTCATCCGCATCCAACCAAAACGAAGCAGAACACCATGAAACTTGTTGTTTGTAAATCCAGCATGGCTAATGGCTATCTCTTTTCATAAAAGACCCCTTGACAAACCTCTGGTAAAAGGAAGGCTAGAGTAAGCCCATTCGTTCAAAACTTGCTCATGTCGCAACCAAGCCATACGTGGGAGCAGAGTGAAGACCCACGAGGCTTCTTGAACAGAGCTCCAAATCATTTCTTCTTGGTGGTGAAGAGTTTAACAAACATTCGGGAATCTGGGGCAACCGATGTCCAACGTTCTTCCAGGATCTGTCTGGCGCTGCTGGAGGTTGCCGCCCCTAAACCCCAAATCATGAAGGAGATTGACAACCACTTGGTTTGGTGTTTTGCTGGTGTTGAAGTTATGATGGTCTCCAGTCCTATTTTGGGGTGTCATTCAGGGTGCTTCTAAGGGAACCGTTTTGTCGGGATCACAGCTATCTCGCACAAGCTTCTTCCAACAGACTTGGTGCTCATAGTAGTGCAGCCGGAACTTGGAGAGTACTGTATATATACCTCTCATCAACCGCAGCGAGGAAAGACTCTTCCTCATTGTATAATCGGCAAATCGGCAAATCCTTTTGATGCTTTGATTTCCATGATTTTCTCTTGGTGGGCCTGTCCTTGGAGGATAGATGGAAGTTAGGAAAGTTGGAGAAAGGCAACTCAATGGAGCAGACCTAACCTTCTTGAGCAATCGTTGAAACCAACCCTGTTGCAATGACTGGCACCGAGGAAGACCTATGACCGAGACGATGTCAAGGAGAGTGGCGCACCTTCTTTTGGTTGTGTGGGGTTGTTTCTTTTCCTTTTTGGTTGGAGGCCATCGCTCTTAAAGTCTTAGGTTGGAGGCCTTCGCTATTAGGTTTCTGTTTTCTTTTTACAGGACAGGACCTATCCCTGATGATTCCCACAAGTTTGTCAAGAGGTTTGGCCTTTAAATATGTCACTGACATAAAGGTGGGTCACTGACGAAAAAAATATGATGATCGACCTTCTTGAACGGCTTGGGTTTGGGATTGATTTGTGGCTTCGGTAAGGATTTCTGAACCGGGCCTGGGCGCATACAAGAGCATGCTGAGAATCACAGTGAGGCTTAGTGTTGAAAGCACAAGATGGTAACAAAACAGAAAAGAAACACAGACGTCTTGCCCAGGTCTCCTCCTCCCTGGTCTTGAATTCAGATTCGTGAGGACGTGGTCTTTAGGAAGCTGGAGATCTTTGTGGCCGAGCCCGACCCTGACTTGGAACCCCCAGCGAAGGGGCCGTCACCTCAGCGAAGCTGCAAGGTCCCCCTCTCCTCATCATCCGGCAGTCAATAGGATCAACTGATCTACGGGCTTCAGTGCAGAAAGCAAAGGGTTTTTGTCAACCAGGCTGCAAGCCTCCAGGGCACAAAATAACCAGTTGGGAACCAGCCTGAACTATTAACTAAATTTTATTCATATATTCAAGCAGGAAAGTACTGCACTGCACGAAGTATACTGAAGGGGCTAGAATCAGATGGACCGGGATTTTCCGGATTGTTGCGGGTTGATTCTTCAGCTTCCGGATGAGGGCCCAACACCATATGAAAACTGTCAGAGTCCGTGGGTGAGTTTCATCTATCAGGAACGTGCTGGCAGTTTTGTAGTTCTTCAGAAGCATGTATCTAAAGCACCCTTTTTGAAGTTGCCTGCATGCAACTCCGTCTTCATGAGTTGCCTGGACATCGAAGTCTAAGTGACGCCATCGGTGCAACATCAACAAGCAGTTTCGACTGGCATTGGCCAGTTGGGGGTCATTCCTCAAGAGCGCAACCGCTGGAGACAGCCAACGAGGCCGTTCGGCCGTCTAAGGGAATTTGGGGACATCGTGGTGGCCAAAGTGGCACTGAAGTGGATGAGGGCATTGTACGCGTATAGCAGCTTGGCCTTCTTTGCATTGAGGGCTAAAGTGGCTAAAGCAAGGCAGCCAAGCAAACACCCTGAAACAATGCAACTTTTGGCACCTTTGTTTATCTTTGCTACCGATTTGTGTGTTCCCAGTGTGTGTTTTTCTCCATACAGGAGAGTATGTTCAGAACTGTGCTACGAAATTTGCTGGCACGCACACCTGGGCTTTTTGGAACAGAACATGTGACTCGATCCCAGATCCTGGGAGTTTCCGTCCGAGGGATAGAAGAAGGCACGAGTTAAGATGAGGGATGAATGAGAAAAGAAAGAAAGGGAAGAAGAAAAGAAGGATAACGAGAAGGAGAAGGAGAAGGAGAAGAGAAGACGGGTGGTCAATAACACTATATATTGCAGTAAAATAAGGCACGCGCAATAAGAAGAGGAAGAAGTAAGAAGACGATGTCCTGTAGTGTCGTTGAACATGCGATTGCATGTTCTTTGCATACACAAACACTTGAGACTTGAGTTTGCGTTCGGTGTGTCGTGTTTGCCACACCAGTCTTGCACAGTGTGCCAGGGTTTCCCAAACGACCGGTGAGCCATGACTTGGCTAAATTCTATATAGACTTGGTTTGTGCGGGAGGTATTATGAGCGTATCACTGCCTGGTCGAATTGCATTCAGATTCACCAATCTGGTTCATTTGGAAGAGGGAAGTTGGCTGCATATCTGCGACAGACTCGGCCCCCCGAGTTGGAAGCTGTCTATTTCACCTGTCCAGCTGCAAAGCTTTTTGAATTTGAGGACCTCACACCATACTGCTTCAACAAAAAGGAAGAGGATGCCGCGTGGATTCCCCAAACAAGCTCTTTTGGATTCCCCAAAACCTAATTAGGCCGAACGTTGCCCAGGCAAGTGTGCGCGAGAATTGAAACCGAGAGTGGATCACTATCACAAGCTTGCGGGTGAACTTGAAGAGCTCATCAAGGAGCTCAAGGACACCTGAGCATCTGGTTCACATCTCCGTCTCTGGTTCACATCCGCACCGCGTGATGAGTGGTATCACAGGTTCCATCCAATCGCCGGGACCATGAATTCAACAGCTCACCTCCCACGTGCCATGTGGATGCGATGTCAGCCCACGCATCACCGGGTCGGAGCGCAGGCTGCGCAGGCTGCCGAGCCAAAGACTGCTCAGGTGAAGTCCGAAAAGAGGCGTTGTTATTCTTGTCATCTTTTGGGGTACTGGGGTCCTTTCCTTCTTTCCCAAGCTGGTCCACCCATTCAGAGTCTCCAATCTTCTAAAACCATCCACCAAAGCGAGGGAACATGAATTTTGGGTGGACCAGTTGTAAAGTCGATCACGCCATGAGAGCCTCTTGGAATCCAATCTCTTTCCAGAAGTCGGATTTGGATCCTTTAGCTTTCCTCCAAGTTTTTGCTTCCTTTGCTGGGGCGGAGGCACTGGTTCCCCATCGCCTCCACCTTGGAGTTGGATCCTCAACGGCCGACGCCAGTGCGCTTGGATGGTGTGGACCTGGTGGTCTGGCAGGTGCCGTGGGGCTCCGTGGGGGTTGCACTGTCAGGTTGGAGGCCTGCTCAGAATCCAGGTTGGTGGTCAATGGGTTTGGCACTTTCATGAGGATTCTTGACCACCTTTTCACCTTTGATTCTTTGGTTTTTAGAGAGACCTTCCGCAGGTCCCTGGTGAAGAAGATGCCGAGGATGAGGGATGGCGAGTCTGGGACACCAGCTATTGATCACAGCACACGCTGTGGCGCAGCTCTTGCGTCGCACGCGGTTGGCCGCGCAAGGGTGGCATGGGTAGCAGGGGAGACATAGAATTCAGGTGCCTCAAAACGTGGTGGTTTCCCTCAATCCTTTTTTCAATTGGTGTCCCGTTTTACTACAGTAGCAAGGCTAATGCGGTGGAGGCACAATTGCTCCTGTACAAATCGTAACCAGGCTGCAAACTGCTTGGGAAAGCGGCCGCACACAAATCGTATAGCTGATGTAAATAATCATTTGACCATTGGTTGCAAGAAGGTGCCACCTCTGGGTGAACCAGATGGGTTTTGAATTCTTCACTTCCGCATTTGACCACTTTCCTACTAGGCTTGCAGCTGGGGGCCAACGACCCCGATGTTCTTGATGACCTGGACACAGTGTTCCTGTGGAAGTGCTCCAGCACTTGGTCGACTTGCAGCCGTGACAGAGCAAAAACCCATGGCAGTTGATGCTCAGGTCATGAGCGATGCATGTCCTCATCGTTTGGCACCTTTGTCGGAAGGGCGCATAGAACCAACGACCAAATGCCTGCAGCCGGGACCCTAGATGCCCAACTGTAGCTGGTGGGTGGGGCTCATGAGCGTGGGGAATTGGGATTAATGAATTCCTGTGGTCGACGCAGAATCTTTAGCAGCCGATTCCAAATAACTTCATCACCGAATGCTCTAGCGCTGTTTAGAGATGGTAGCAACAGTAGCACTTTCACATCCAGTCAGTCCCTGGGGTTCCATGGGTATTATATCAGCGAGACTCTTCCTGCTTTTGTTGATAGAAGGAATCTTGCACCACCCCATATGTCATATGTACTTGAAACACTATGAATAAACTGGGATACTGCTCTGCCATTGTCTTGCTTCCTTTAACTTCAAAGCGGTCAACAAAGTGTTTTCTCTGCTCCGTTTACAGGTTGTTCCAAGCTCCTCGACCCACTCCAATATCCTTTGTATTTGCCATTCGTAGAGGAAATGCCGCCAGCTGGAGCCATAGACAGCCAACGCAACCAACCAGAGATCTATTACCGCAGCCATGAAAAGTCAACATATGGTGTTTAAGAACTGTGACTCTGATCTCTGGACCTGCTCAAAATTGGAAGCTCCAACTCTTCAACAACTACACAGACGCTGGATTATGATAGGCAATTTTATGATTGCTATTAGGAAGGTCAGTGCCACAGGTAGGTGTCAGGATGCCACCATCATGGATGGTGTGATCATTAGGAGCTTCCTGGGCGAGAGGTGAATGGAATGTTTGGTTTGATTGTACTCTACAACCCTGATCAAGATCAGAGACATAAATTTCACCAAAAGGCCCACAGCTTGTCCTTGACCCTTGCCAACCCTTGCTATGTTGAGCCCTCCGGTTTTGAGGTGTGCCTATCATGGCTGGGAATTCAACTCGGAGGGACACTGTACCAAGATTCCCCAAGTGGAGGCGCTGACGGAGACCGTCCGGTTGTTGGACAAAACCGCACTGGTTGAGTCACCGGGTGGACCACCATGGGCAGAGCACAGCAAATCCTGGGCCATTGAGCATGATGTCATGTCCTTACTTTCCTGGTCTTAAAAGCCTTGTGAACAGTCAGGGCAAGTTTGGGAGTTAGCAAGAAGCTCCTGGCGAGCGTACATTTTCCGAAACAATCCCTGGTGTGCTCCCAACAGTTCAACAATTTAGGTACTGTAATTGACTGCTCACTTTTTAGTAGAGGCTCACACATTTCCCGGCTTTTTGGGGAGGTTTCTGCTTCTAGTACCCTGACAAGATTGAGCGACTGTTGGGACCCACCAGAACACCTCTGGCTAATCGCTTTTCGCAGGAAGCGGCGGCTGAGAAGATGCGGCAAAACTCACGCTCGCAGGCGGCGGTAGAACGGGGAGTTGAGTCAGGGTGTTCGCTCCCCTATAAAAGCTCGAACACCCCTGGTATGCGACCTCATTTCGAGGCATATATCTTATATATATATAGTACACATATTTAATATAATTAACTTATAGTTTTCCCAAATGGTCCAAACGTTTACTCTACGCGCGCGCACACACACACACACATATATATACACACACATCAGTCGACACACCCCTTGCCATTCCAATTGCAATCAACACAACCTATTCCTCCGCAAGACTAGTCAACCTGGGTCCAGAACTTTTGTTGCCTGCCAAGAGAGGTAGATATTATATACTACTACTACTACTACTACTACTACTACTACTCCCACCACCTAAAACAAACATAGACATAGAGACCATTTGGCAATGCGGAGCGGATTCTTACAATCCTCCTCCTGGTTCCTTGTTCTTTCCGGAGCCTTTTTCAAGGTGCGGAGCTTCCCCACGAAGATTGCCATGAAGTTAGCCGCGAAGATCGCATGAAGTCGGAGGGTAGGGAGAGACCGGGGTGCAGGATTTGGCGGTCCATGTGGGTAAGTGGGTGTGAAGTCCGGAAGATGCCAAGTTGGGTGTCAGTGCTCAGGCGGAGTTCGGTAAAGTTCTGCACGAACTGAAGGCGACCGCACGAGCTGAAGTGGCCATTTTCTTTGCAGCTGTCACTCTACGGGGCGCTTTCACTCTACGGGGCGCTGCAAAACCCCTGTTCAAGCCCCAAGATGTGAATTAGTTCTTTCAGATGACCGTTTGACGGTGTCTGACGTACAAAAGTGTGCATCTGTCAACTTTCATATTTATTCCCACAAAAGACAGTGGTGGGGGTTGGATGCCACCCCTCTGGGCAAGAACAAGCTCTTGGCTCGAATAGCTGACTTTTGGGCCAAGCCTCCACTCCACTTAGGATTTACAGCCAAGAGTTTTGATGGGATAGCAACAACAGCAGCAAGTAACAACGAAAACGGTGGCGAAGCGACAGTGGCGACCATGGCGACAGTTGGGGTGATACTCTTGGCCCTGCAAGCAGGATGTTAGTAGCGTCCTTGCTCCGTTCGTAGCGATGCCCTTTGTTCCTAGTAGCGTCCTTGTTACTAGTAGTAAGGCCAGGAGCGCCCGGTTCGTCGCGTCCGATCGCCCCAAGGTCTGGGTCTGGCTCGGTGAGAGCGAGCCACAGGGTCATCCAAAGGATCTGGTGAAAGGCGGGGCGATGCCCGGCGAGATGGAGGGACTTTGACCGTCAACATGTTGTCTAAGAGGTTTTGGGGTCGCTTACAGCAGAAGGACATTCCGTTGTGTATTTCTTGCCCTACTTCTAACCATGGGTTAAGAATGTACAAACTGTTTTGGAGAGTACCCGAGTACCCCTTTCTTCTGTTCCGATTTGAAAGCCCCCCAAAAAGATGCGATGCTTTTATGGGGTGTTCTACAGGCCTTTTCCCTGCATCGGCCCAATTCGAGTCCTGAAAGGCCAGGCGCGACAAGGATCACACATTGGGCATTTGGATCACACAGGTGAGTGGTACCAGGTCGCAACCATTTACGCTGTATTGGGCACACAAATTCTCGTCCTACACCGGCAGGCTTGCATGGGAGGCAGGTGCCATCAAACTTGACGATGTTCTACGATCAGACCTGGTGAAGATTCAGGTTTTGCCCTGTTTCAGACCCTGTTTCGGATCTTTGGATGTCAATCTCTGCTTGACTTCTCTACACTGCAGGAAGTCACTTGGAGTCTGAGTTTGAGGTGGCAGGCACCTACACTAGAGATTTACCTTATGGCTGCTTGGGTGCAAAACGACTTCGAGGTTCGGAAGAGACTTTCCTTTAGGTGGAGAAGCACATGGGGGTTCGAGCGCAGGAGATGTTTTCAAGTACTATCTCTCCATCTCCGTCCGCGCCAACGAAATAAACCATGGAATAAAGGTCGCCCTGAATGCGCAATGCTGTACAGATTGTTAAAGCTGAGCTGATAGCCGGTAGCCAAGTGACCAACAGACCTTGTAAAGCTCGCCATTACCACCATATTCCACATGTTCTTCTTCTTCTTCTTCTTCTTCCTCGATGCATGACACTGCAGCTTTCCTGCTTCTGGACACGGTGTTTCGGACATCCCAATGGCTTCATCCTTACAGCAATGCTTCCACGTGGCGTCCCAGTGTGGCACCACCGAACGACGACCTGGAAACGCCCCCCCGAGCCGGTGTCGATTCCGAGCGACACTGACGGTCCGGCCGACGGTTTTTCATCGCGATCCTGCCTGAGTCGGTTTGAAGTCTGAGGCTACGACAGTCTGGTGGAAAATCTCATTGACGTCTCCCACGTGCCCTTCGCACATCACGGCTTGCAAGGTGGAGCGTGCAGAGGGAAGAAGGAGGAAAGGAGAATCAAGGAGGGAAGGAGGATGGAGCTCGCTTGGTTGAGCATGCATTCCCATGCAATACCCAAATAGAATTGCGCCTTGAACAATGCTTCGGTAACCCGGTGTGATAAGGGTGGTACTGATAGGTCAACTACAAAGCTTTTTGTCGAGCCAGAGAGCCTTGGTATACCAATTCTATAGGCCATGTTTTCGGGGCGTCCAGATAGTGCACAGGGTATGGTCACTCAAAGTCCTTTTGTAGAGGCTTTCATGGAGTCCTAAGATTTTGCAGATGACGTGCAAAGTGTAAGCCTTGTGATTTGTAGCTTTTTCTTCAACCACTCAGATTCCAAAGTACCCACCCTTTCCCGGCTTTGCACTGAGCTTCAATTGCAGTTCAGCAGGAAGATCAGGTCTCTCTTCTCGTTCAGCAGTAGTGGCTGGCTCAGACCCATTTCTTGGAGATGAGATGCCCCAACAGATACTCAGGACATGTCAAGATTCCTGTGAGGAGAGTAGGGAAGAGGATGTGGACCAAACGCCGAACCTGGTGCCTTCAGCACCCTCCTTTATAGCCTGGGTCCTGTTGATTACCGCGCAACCCTGAATCAGCAAAGGCTGCATCTATTTCACAGACGGAAACATTGGCTGTAAAAGGACGCGAATACACCAACTCACGAGTGAGAAGACTAGGTGCCCTTCCCCAGTGGGTGCTAACTAAGAGCTGGGTACTGTTTGAGTCAAATCGAGATAGACCTTCGATGGTGATGCAGAGGCACTCGCGATGACGCGGTGCCAGTGTCCATGACCATCCCAGAGATGCAGCTCGGACGTGGGCGAATGGATTGCGTCGGACAGCGGCCTAGCCCACATTGATGAAGTCACAGATGTGCATCATGGATTTTCCAGATTCCACACAGCTAGCCATCTTCGTCCGATGATGTTGCGGCGCTGAACTTACAGTGTTAATCGGACGCAATAATGCAGATTGGACACTTCATGGACCCTGTGGATTGAAGGGCCACTGACTTGTTGCTAGGAACTGGTGGAACTCAGATGGCCTTGGCGCTAGGATCAACATTTGTGTGTGTCCTAATTAAATCTTGCAGTTTCAAGTGATACTCACTCTTCGTTTGTCAACGAGTTGGGAGGAAGGGTAGCCCAAGTGGGTTCACGGGCTGCCATGGAGGGAAACAGGAAGACCATATTATGAAGACCATGTCCATGGGAATGATAGAATGTGTATAGGTTCTTCTATGGTGGTGAGCTCTGCTATTTTTGGGGGAATTCTGGCGCACGATGTTTTCGGGTGAATTCTACTCATGACAAAGCAATCCACACCATTCCACATCTGTGGCAAAAATCACTAGCCAAGCATTCCTGTGGCGAGAGTTTCGAGGCATTCCCAGGCTTCACCTCCATGGACTCCATGGCAAAAATTCTTCCGCATGGCGCCGAGGAAGAGTTCCAACGAGCACGGCGAGATCTTAAGCTTCACATTTTGGGATCGGACCATGGGTGCCATGACGGACACATCGGAGGGAGACGATGGGGTGACGATGGATGGGGTGAGTGTAGGAGACGAACCTCCGAAGCGGGGGAGGATGGGGTGGCGATGGGGCGTCCAACGATGGGATGAGTGTGGCATGAAACATGAGACAAATGCTGTGCTAGTGGCCTCTGAAACGCTCTCCAGGACATGTTTGTAGGTAATTACTACTAATTATAACGTCCAGCCTGTGGCTCTTGTTTGCACGTGCAACCCGCAGACGATCCAGGAGTGGAAGGATCGGTTCATTTGATTCGACACTTTCCTGCAGGCATGCGGCGGGAAGCGCAGTTCTCTTTGCGATCGCCGTTCTTCTTCTTCTACCTTGGTGAGTACCTTGGTGAAGGTGTAGCTGCTGTAACGGCGATGGGGCAGACCAAACATCGCAGGTTTGAGAAGTGAACTTGGGTCATTGGCTAGGACACGTGGACCTGGTCCTTTGGGACTTCGGTTCTGCTGTTCGAACGCTTTACCTGGCTTTGTTGTGGCCTGATCTTGGTTTCGGTTCAATTGAGGATGGATATCGGATTGCACCCAGTTCTCATCCGTGTTTGGAAAGAACCAGTTTTGGTCCCCCCCCAAAAAAAGGGACCAGCGGCCCACTGCTGTTGCGATGCCTTCAGCCTGCGCATTTCAAAGAGTGTGGCTTAGATGGGCCAAGCCCAAGTTGATTTGCAGATCACACAATAGGTGCCCCAGCAACCCATGGGACCCATGATAGCTGAACATCCGCTGGCTCCTTGACTTTCATTTTCATTTTTCTGCTCAACCACGCTCAACTCACCTCTTTTTGTGTGACCAAGTGCGAACTGCGAAAGGTAGTCTGTGTAGAACATGGGGGATTTCGTGCACAGACTTTCCAGCTCATCTTTCATTTCTCGTTCTGTCTCTTGCGATCCACGTTTCGCCGCTTCCAGGACCTTCCAGGTAGAAGTAATTGCAGCTAGATATATATATATATAGATGGTTCTTCCTGACAGTGACAGCTGGTGAGCCTCAATCCCCACGGTCTGAAGTCAGTTTGAAGCCACTCCGGCGAGTGGCGTTGCTCTCGTTGAACGTTCGCGTGACGTCGCTGTTCGTGTTCGCAACGGAACAGTCTCGGCCGATGGGGCCACCGTCCGAAGGCGTGACAGGGGGGAAGCTTTTGGACGGATTATCTTGCATGACTCCTGCAAGAGTGTTCTACAAGGGTGTCCTGCAAGAGTGCCAAACAATGGAGCTGCCCGTTGGTTTTCTTTGCTGCGCGTGTGCTTTTGCTGCTGTCTTTGGTTGACAGCGCAGCGGCACACCTCACGAGGTTCAAAGGGGATGGTGACAACTTGGAGTTCAAAAAGTTCTCCGAGCGCCGCGGATCCACCGAGCCGGATGGCAAGCCGCGCTTTCGTCCCTGGGGCGAAGCAATGAGTCGGGAGGTAGAGGTAGGGCCCAAAGGGAGGGAAGTTAGGGGGCGGGGCTGGCCGAAAATCAGAGTGGTTGGAATACAGAATACATGTCGCATCACTGATTCAGGTTGATGGGTGTGAAGAAGGACATCGATTGACATTGCTTCAGACGGCACGAAAATTTTAACCATGTACTCCGGGTAAGAGGGAAAACATAGTCTCCCCAATCCGAAGAAGTGATTCCGATTGCATCGCCCAGGCTTGAACTGCGCCTGTGTGCCAGTGGCTCCTGGATGGTCCCGGCTGATTCTGGCCAATGCTTCTCGCGGAGGAGACCTGGATAGACTGACCACAAACCTCCTTGCGACAAACGCCGGGCCCTTGAAACACTTTTGTTCCTGTGAAATGAGCCCTTTTTGATCCTTTTTTCACCAAGTGACTTTTGGAGGAGAATACTGATCTGTGGGACGGTCCAAAACCACTGGTCGTTTGCGGGATTGCCGTTTGGAGGCTTTCTAGCTAGACCCACTTATTTGTTGCATGATCACTTCGCTAGCTCAGGGACTTTCCAGAATTGCCTGTTGTATGTATGCTTTTGTTGACATTTCCACTACAGACTACTGGATTTAGATAGACCTTTTCGAGCCACACAGTCACACGTCACACATCTTCTTTGCACTGGAGTTTTTTGCTTCCGTGTTTGGCTCCTTGTGCCACTCTGACAGGACAGTCTGGAAGCGGCTTGCTCAAGTGGAGTTGGTATAAATCAACGATGAAGATCAGGTTCTGCTTGGGTTTCGTTTGCCCAACAGGAACCAGATGTTGAACCCATTCCGGACAGACCAAAAGCGACTGTGGGCAGACTCCTGTTGTTCGTGGCATCTCAATAGATAATAAATAGATAATGAAAGTCAAGTTTCCCCAAAGATCTAGGAACCAAATCATGAGTGCGTGAGATGGCACACACTTAAACAAGTAAGGAGGCAGGGCCACGGGCAAAAAAGAACAGAAGGGAAGGGCATTCATCAGAAGTGTACGAGCCACAGCTTCAACCCCAGTTTCTCGACGAGGGAGCACGGGCGAACGTTGATGTTGGAAACCCTGTTTTCAGGGCCTCGAAGATGTGGGCGAGGCTCTTCAAACATGCCTGACTTGGATGGATTTGTTTTTGCTCCAGCATTATATATAAATATATAATAACATATATACATATGAAGACATGAAGAGTGCATGAAAATGGTTTGAGTTGAGCCCTGGAGCCATGGTTTGCGCAGCCCTTCGGCCACGATGGTAGCTCAAAACCCTTTGGTCCGCACGGGACGGACGCCCGGACACCTTCCCTCTGTGAACCAGGGTGGACCTCTTTTCCTGTGTCGCTTTTGACGAAGGTATCCTTCCACCGTGGGCCATTCACCTCTTGTCCAACCGCTTCCTTGTGCCTTGGCAGACGTGACAGAAGAGGCTGCTTCTGGCTAGTCCTGAACATAGCAAAATGGGTTTTGGCTGCAGGAAAGGAACTTTCACAACCCTGTGGTTGCTATGTTTATTGCTGCTCCTGTCTTGTCCAAAGGCAGAAAGTGTGGGGGAGGATAGGAAGTTCACCTCGACGGAATTCAGGACTCTTTGAGTTCCAGCCGTACCGTAATCTGAGTGACTGGTGTAATTCAATGCACCCCCACATAGAACCCTATCCTTTTTGTGAAACAATATGTGTTCACTTTGTCTATTGACCGGTCAATAGATGCTCAAAAACCGTCAAGAAGGAGCTTCAGAGCCAACAATCTCATTCTCTGCCAGCTCTGTGAGCTTTACTCAGAGCGACTCTGGTGTTTTCACCCGATGGCGACAGTCTTTGCCATCCCAAAAAGACAAGCCTGCTTCATGGACAAGACCTGCCCCAATTGGCTTGGCCCAGGACAGTGACCTGGCATTCTTGCACTACCAAGAGCGGAAGCTTCGTGCGAAGGCCGCAGGCCCCGACGGCTGGTCCAGCGCTTACTACATGCCAGGCGACGTCCGGGGCTTCCATACGTGGGGAGTTAGGGCAAATATATAAATAGAATGTGATCTACAGTTTCCATGCTTTGACAGCACTACATTACCACGACCAGGACTTTCTCCAGAAACAGGAGCATGCTGCAGCATGCTTTTGATTTGGGATGACCGCTTGTTCTGATGTAATCTGTGATGTTTACGTCAAGATCATTAGTTGCAGGACAGTCTTCTCAGCAATTTCCGGCCCAAAGTGCACGGCCGGTTCTTCAGTCAGCTGAGGCCATCGCTGAACTGAATCCTTGGAGTGAGTGGTCGCTGCCCGTGCAGGTGAGTCAGATCGGAGCATCGGTGCATGGCGTCAGTGGTTGGCCAAGGAGCTCATGGCGGGCAGCGGAGCATGGGGAGCATAGGGCTGTGGGACGTGATACTTGAATAGAGTTATTTATGAACATCTTTTTTGACGATTGTAGTGAGGGATCTCTAGTCCTAGTTTCACCCATGCCATGCTCTTTTTGTCCTTTGTGTTCTACAATACTTCTGCATCTCCCATGCCAGTGCAACCAATTGGGACTTCATGTCCACAGCTTCTGATGTCGTTGGTCCAAAAAGCCACGTCCATCCAGATCCGGATTTCAGTTCGTCGGATCTATGAACAAACAGGAGGGACGTTCAACAACCTGGGTCCACCGCTAGCAATAAAAAGATATGGGTGCACCAGAGATGTATTTCTGCAATACACTTTGATGGTCCATGGGCCTTTTCTGGCATTGCTGACTCGGATTAGCCATGATCCATGTAACATAGTTTGTGATTGTGAGATTCTCCAAGTCTCCAAGGCACCGATAATATGACTCCAGTGGTTCCATGAAGTTGAATTGGCCAATCATGCGAAAGCTGCAGGAGAAAGCCCGCTGCGTGGATCCAGAGGCTGTGAGTGCTTGAGTCACTCGAGTCGTTCTCATCAACTTTGCTTCTCATAAAGGAGCAACTGTGTGTGTAAGGTTCACCCAAAAGCTTGGCATGATTGTTGAGGGTACTCTCCATAGTCTAGTGCACGATTTCATTGGGAGCAGGAAGTTGAGCAAAGCAGTTTCTGGTTTGCATCGAGTGGCTGTACCAGGTGAGAAGCTAGGTAAGAGCTGAAGTCAGATGCTTGGATCAAGCCTTTGCTGAGGCACCCAACTTTTATATAGTCGATATTGCTTAGAGAATCTGCCGGTTCTGAGGATTTCCATTTCGCCATTGTCACAAAGCACTGCCTCCTGCCGTTACGACAGAGGTGCCATTGCCACCCTCCCCGCTGGCCAGAGAAGATCTGCTGAATCGAGCCTTGCCTGCGCCAAGCGCAACGGAGCTTTGCCCAATTCGCTGTTGGAAGTTTGACGGCGGCAACGGCCGTTGGCAAAGTCAGGGAAGAAGTTGCATGGATTTGCTGAGAGCCTCCTACCTGGATTCTCCTTCACTGAGAAACCCAGGAAGGGTTTTAGTTAGGCTTGCCTCGAGGTTGGGAGCAGCACACCGCCAGCTGCAGGCATTGCCGCGAGGTGCCGATTTTCTGTTGTGTGTTTTGGAGCCAAAGAAGTCACAGCATTTTGGGGGAGTTTCTTTTTAACATGAATTTCTTCAGAGTCTTTTTGGATGAGCCGATGAAAGCATCCCTTCCAAAGGCGAGCATGGTTCATTGTGTTTGATCGATGCCCCTGCCCCCTCTAGACTTGGTTCAGGCTCACTCCCCAAAAGCTATTTTGGACGCGCACCCGGAAATCACCTCTTGGGACCTGGGACTTATGCTTTATGCCAGGAGTTCCTGAGATGTGATATATATATATATATACACATAAATTCTCCAAGAAAACACGAGCACATGTAAGTTCAGCACCCGTGATTCCCATGATTTGTCCTTTCCCGCGTTGGGTCGTGTGAGTCAGTGACTTACGCGACCACGCTGATTCCAAGCCATGCTGAGCCATGCTGAGCTGTGAAAGGCCTTCAGCAACATGGAGCTAGTTCAGAAGGCTCGGTGCGTCGGCTTTGCGTTTGGGTCAACGAAGGCCAAAGTTGGAGCGAAGTTGGAGCGTTCCGCGACTAGCCAGGAACAGTGGACCACCTGCAAAACCTTTTGGGGGATTGGGGACACACCACTTAGATCCACCAGGTGGAAAAGGTTTGATAACCTTCATTGTGTAGGGAAACTGAGGGAGTCAGGCTATGACCTGGATAGTTTTTTGAGACTATAGCCAACCCTGTGGCTGGTAGAGAGGATTCACTGGGAAAGTCATCACCAGAAAGTGCTTCAATAACACGTGGGGAGTGTGGCTGTTGTTGCAGCAGCACTTAGTTTCACAAAACCTCTGACCTGAGCGGTTTCCACTTGTCGGATGCTGTAAGCACCACGGATATCCACGGCCTGCTCAGTGTTCAGCTCTTCATGTCATCTCCGCGTCTCGGCGGCGCCACTCTTGACCACCCGCGTTGTGAGGCTGCTGCGGCACTCTTCCTGGTGGGGTTGGCTGGAGCTCAGACGCAACTGGCACCCACCTTTCTGTCGCTTCTTCGCGATCAGAGACAAAACGGTCGGAGCATGGCGACATGGGACGCGGAAGACCTCGCGGTTTTTCGAGGGGTTGAGAAAAAAGATCTCTCCACCATGGACCAGGTTCTCTTAGTACTGGGAGGTAGACCATCCCAAGAGGTTTCCAGATCCGCTCATGAACGCTTGCGAGCATTCCCATAAGCAATTTCTTTTCAGCAGGGATGCGGAGGCGTCAAGTCCAATCAAATTGTCAACAGGCCTTCAAAAGTAGCAGGTATGGATGATTTCGAGAGGATTCCCCTCCTGTACAGGTCACCGGTTCAATCCCGCAAGGTCTTTGCCCAGTGAGCTGCTGGGGGCTTTGGGCATGGCTGGCACGGAGTTCTTGAAGCAGGAGATGATCATGTGGTTGTCCGGTTTCGGGGAGTGAACGGATCACTTTTGTTTGCCAAAGTTAGACTCTTCACGAAGTTAACGGGAGATCATTTGCTTGACCCAATTCCTGGGTTTGGGTCTCCTACCTTTGACCAGCGGTGACCGGGCCGCGACATGCATCGCAGTTCAATGCTTCACTATTATTTGTTTTCCCATCTACTGAAGGGTCTTTGCGGAGCACCTTCTTTTTGGAACACACCCATGATACCACAGGCCTGCAGCTGCAGCGATTTTCCAATACATGATGTACTTGAACATGTCAACTGAGTGGTTTGATGTGCCCCAAGGTGCGAGCACCACTCTTTCTGAAAAAGAAGGCATGCCGACTAGGCAAATATCCCATTTGCACAAAGAGAACAAGCGCCGTCGTTTTGTCCCAAGCCTGGCTCCTCACCTTTCAACCAGGTGGGTTCCGCACTCGCACAAGGAGTTCCGCTTCAGGGACTACGAGCACTTCAAAACCTAGGTGAGCTCCTGAAGACCTAGTAGACTTGGCCAACCCGTGGGCACATTCGACGTCAACTGACCTTTGCCAAAGAAAAGGTTTGTTTTGGGCGTTGCATGGTGGAGCTAGACCCAATACAGGGTGGGAGTAGGAGTTTGGACATAAAAACTGAACACATCTCGTAATCTTCCCTGCCCAGCCTGATTGAGACTATCAAACTGCTTGATGTCAAATCCTGGCCATTTGCATGTTTGTACATGTCTTGCCGGGAATGGACAGGCGCTGCAGTTTCGCTCAGATGGCTTGAGTACCTGTTGGGCTCCAGACCTGGCCGCCTTCGTATCATGTCCATGTTGCACAAGCAACATCAAGCAACCAGACTCAAGATTGTGATTGTGTTTGTGTATTTGTGAAAGACTTGCGACCCCTCAACCCACCCGAGTTCCAAACCATTGAAGACTAGAACTCCCATTGTGTTATCCTGTGGTCATAGCACAAAGGAGAGGTGGGCTGATGGTCTCGACCCCCAGACCAAGCTACATGAACCGAAGCTAGTGCCTGCGACGTGGCAAAGCCAGTGGCGAAGCCAGTCAAGCCTGGATGCACGCAACATATGGGCTTACTCGTCAAGGTGCTTGTGGAAACCGATGGACTCCATAGATTCCCGTGCTGGCTGTTTGTATGAATGCTTGGATCATGCTTGCTACAGGGACTTTTGGAAGGTAGTTCTTTTTGTCAGGTCAGGCCTCCATAACCGTAACCTCTGTGGATTTGTTTGGAGGTATCAAGAGCTAGAGTCCAAAGTCATTTGCATCTCTGACTTGAGCAAGACATCGTCCTTGGGGCGGGTCAACATGGAGCAACTGGGGAAGCGAACCCATCATATTCTTTTTGGGTTCCTCGCTTCGCTTGCGGTTGCGATATCCCAAAACCATACCATACACTGCCATACACCCCAACACCCCTTTTTGCATCACGTTTCTCATGTTTTGACAAAACCAACACGGTTTTTGTTTTGGCCGTCTTTACTAGACTTCCGGCGTGCTATTGCTCCTACAACACCATGTATTGGCGTTGCGCCATTCTTTTGTTGAAAGTCAGGATCCTTTGTCCCCAGCTGTTGGCACACACACTAAAGTCATTAAGGGCTCGGGCTCTTGATATTTTTCCCCGGGTCTTCAGTGGGTCTAAATTTGCACTTCCTCACGTTGTACACACCCGCAAGACCCCGTGAACGGATCCGGTGGGTGACCTTGTGTCTTATTTTTGAGGCTACCAGGCACAAGTTTATGGGAAACTACATTTGCGAACAAATGCTCAATATGTACAGCTGAGTGCCAAGCACGCAAACTGCACTGCAAACAATCACAACTAGTTTGATCATGTTCAACACCCCCCCAATGGAGCAAACATCCACCAAGCTGCAGGCCAGGCCATAATGTTCGAAGAAACCACTTGTTGTTGCAGCGTGACTGGCGAACCCAGCAGTGACGTCACAAGACTGCCTGGTCCCCAACGCGGACAGTGAACGAATGAGGGGACATCTTTTCGGATGGCTTGAAGGGCTTTGGATGATCGGCTTCTTTGGAGCATACCAAGTGAGGAGCATTGCACTTCTTCTGGTCCCACAACGGCTACTGCCCACGTGACGCAGGGCCGAAGGGATTTCCCCAGCGCCCCACCAGCGCAGAGGCACAGTCGATTGAAGCTTCTCAGCACAAAGTGGCAGAAAAAATTGCGAAGTATCTCCTTTTCAGTGTGGGTGAACAGGTTTGTTCATACTGATCTATTCTGGGATACTATTTGTTTGCTCATTTATGAGTGTGCCTCGCATCTAAATCTAGTTGACACAGAATGTTTGTTTCTTACCTATATATACACCTTTCTGACTGCTTTTCACTTTGACAGTTATTGAAGGAAGGTGGATTCAGCACACGGGATGAAAACACGATAAAACACGCCCAGTACAATAATGCTTTCATGAGTTGTGTTGTCAA